GCCCCCAGCTACATGGAGCTCACATTCAGACTGGGGAGACAGGCAAGAAACACACTAACAGATATGTCCAGAGGACGGGACAGAGAGTGACAGAGGCTGTTTATATAGGGTGTCTTCAGGAAAGTGTTTCTGGGTAGCTTACATTTGAATAAACATCAGAAGACAAGAGGCAGCGAGCTCCTGCAATTATGGGGGGACAGTGTCCAGGCTGAGAAAAGAGAAAGAGTGGCAGCCCCAGGGTGGCAGCAAGTGACATGTGACACCAGACGCAGTGAGCAAGGGCAGAGAGTGGCCTGGGGTGAGGCCAGAGAAGTAGCTGGACCCAGAGTGGAGGCTCAGCCTGGTTTCTGCAGTCAGAGGTCCCAAGAGGGGCGAGGCCCTCATGCTCCAGTGGCAGGGAGCAGTGTAGGAGTCTGGGGACTGGGAGTGGGGCCACCCTCTGTCAGGTCAGGCTTGGCTTGGTCTAGGCTTGGCTGGGGCCTTTGTACTGTGGGTGACACAGGAGAGAAGTGGGGCCTGCAGTGCTCCCCCCGTATCTGCAGCCTTAGGTGCGCACCCACCTTGTGTTTCCACGTTATGCACAAACCAACAAACGTGTAGAAAATAAGCCCTTCAGGGGCACCCAGGAGGACGCTGGGCATGAGCCATGCACAGACTCCTAGTGTACCTGTGGACATTCATAAGAAATCCTAGAAGGGCAGAACATCAGGCTTAAGGACTTTGGGCCAACTCTCATGCACAACAGAGGAACTGAGGCCCACAAAAAGGAAGCCCCAGAATTTAGTGGTCTGGGCAGGTCTCAGAATGTGCCTTCCCAGGCCTGTGCGCATGTGTGGTCCTCTCTCTTCTTGAGGGCCCAGCAGCCTCTCCCTCCCCAGACTCCCAGCAGGAGTCGGCAGGGCTGCCTCCCAATGGTTCCAATGAGCCGCAGAGGGAACACGGGTTGGGGATCCAGGCCGATTCTACCCTCTTGGCAGGATGGCAACAGTGCACACCATAGCTGGCCTCACTTGCTGGCAGCTGCACTCAGGGCTTGTCCCTCTCGGGACCTATGTCAGGGCCCATCAGACCTTCCTCTGTCTGTCTTTGCTTCTGTCCTCCGCCTCCAGCTCTAATCTGGCTGTCTGTGATTCCGTTTCTCCCTCTTCCTCCTGGTGCCTCTCTCATTTCTGTTTCACTCCGGTTCTCTCTCTCTGTCAGGCTCTGGCCTTCTCCATTCTCTCATCAAGATCTTTTTTTTCCCCCTTCTAGGAAGAGCTGACGTGGCACTGCCAGCAGCCCCTGGTCAATGGGAGTGAGGCCCCTCAGGTGGAGTGGGGGCAGGGGCCTTGAAGCCAAAGCTGGGGTAGCAGGAGGGAGGGGGCAGAGGAAGGGAGCAGAGAGGGCTGGGCCTCTGTGGGCAAGAAAGGGAGGGGAAGGAAAGACGGGGGAGGAAGTGAGCCCCACCTCCCCTGCTAGGGTGGCCAACTGTCCCCATTTGCCTGGGACTGTCTGGGTTTTAGCACTGAAAGTCCCATGTCCCAGAAAACCCATCAGGCCCAGGCAAACAAGGACAGTTATTTGGTCACCCTACGAGCTGCCTTAAACCCCCAGGAGCTGAGGCCAGGACTGGCAGAGATCTCCCAAACCCACTCCCTTTTCTTCCCCCTCTGCAGCTGCCCCTGCATTGCTGTAGGGTTGCATGACCAGGATGGTGTAGGGGTTGGAGGGTCTGGGAAAAGCTTGCCAGTCCTGGGCCTCTGGGCCTGCTTCTGTGATCTTGGGACAGTCAAAATCTCACCCACATACTTACTTGGGGTCCCCATATTCAGGCCTGAGCCCAGCTTAGAGGAGGCCAGGAGAGGGAAGATGGCAACCAGGAAGCCCACTGGAAGCAAAGCCAGATTTCTGGCTTGTCTTCCACCTGCTGGCATTACCTCCTGGGGGTGCATTTTTTGATGGTGAGGGAGAGAAGAGGAATTCCCCAGGAGGTAACAGGCCCCCATCCTTAAAGATGTGCACACTGCTCCTCGGCTCTACCAGGGGCAGGAGCCACCTGTCTTACTGTGAAACACCTTGGAGAATCAAATGGTCCTTAGCTGAAGTATACTCGGCCCTGGTGAGCTTTGTACAATGCCTGTCTTGGTGGTAATGAGGAATAGCTGCACCTTGTAGGCAGTGGTGGGATATGGGCATATGGGGACAAGCTGTCAGTGTCATTTCTGCCTGAGTGGGCTGGCACTTTGTGTCTCCTGCCTTCAGCCCCCAACAACTGTTCCAAAGGGAGTCTGAACTTGGTGTTCAGCTGTCATCAAGGTTTGCAATGATGGTAAATGAGGGGTAAAAACTCCCTGCCCCCAAGAGGGCTGGTAACAACAGAGTGTGGGTCTCCTACACAGTGTGAAATATTCTCTAAAATTGTCTATAATACAAGGAACTACACAACCTTGGGCACATTCCTTCCCTAAACTGGGCCCAAAGTCCCCACATGGACAACAAGACAGGAGTTGGTGTTCTCTAAAGCACTTCTGTTTTTGGCATCCAATGTCCATCCACCTTGTCCAAGATTCAGGCAACTTGATGAGACCTTTTCTGTGCCAGGAATTAATACCAACTGTCAAGATAAGACATTTGTCCTCATTGGGCTTCCTCTCTAGTAGAGGATCACACATTAAACACATGTGAATAAATAATTGCAGCTGATAGCAAGAGCTATGGAGAAAAATCAGGGGCATTTGTGAGAGAAATTCACGGAAACTACCAGATGGGGAGATGGTTGCACTCTGACCCTGGTGTGCTTTGGAGAAGGGAGAGGGTGTGATCTGAGCACCTAACAGAATCCTGGAGGAGGGGCTGATGGCCCTTTGTGCACATGAGGGTGTATGTATGGGCTCTATGAGACACAGTGAAGCCCTTTCCACCAGGAAGCCCTCCCTGACTGACATTGAAGTTACTGATTCTCCTTTCTAGTTTATTGAACCCGGATGTGTATACTGCTAGCCTCTGGTTGACCCACCAGATTTAGGACTGTCACAGAACTCTGGCACAGCAAGGATGATGCAAGAGAGGACTTCCTTTGCAGGAGGAGGGCTCTACATTAAACTATAGTAATATCCTCAGCATTGAACTTGGGGTGCAGGCAGCACACTGAGGACTTTTGCAGTTTTGCTTGCTGATGAGGAATGTGGTCTAATGAGCTGGGACAGGCTTTCTGGGGATGCTTTGAACCAAAGATGATATCTACCAAGATGGTCAATTGAGTCATGAGCACAATTCAGCCAGTTAACAGATGGAAGGAAAAGGAAGCTTTGGTGAGGGCTACTGGGGGGATATGAGTAGACTTATTTTGTGAAAGCAAAATTATTCAGATTTGTCAAAGTTCTTTTCTGGAGCTCCCTCGTCTTTGATTTTCTCTTCCAGCTCTCTTGTTTTAGCCCATTTTTATCTTTTTATTATTTATTTATTTATTAATGTTTTTTAGAGACCAGGTCTTGCTCTAGGCTAGAAGGCAGCAGTGGCACAATCAGAGCTCACTACAGTCCTGAACTTCCAGGCTCAAGAGATCCTCCTGCCTCAGCCTTCTGAGTAGCTAGGACTGCAGGTGTGTGCACCACCACACCTGACTATTGGACCTCTTTTGTCTCCCCATTCCCACTCCCCTGGGCCCTCCTGTTTGGAGGGAAAGGGCCCAATATCCTCACCTTGGAGATGTATGACCCTTCCACAGAGTGTTTGGACAGTGGAGCCCAGAGAGGATAATGATGACTGCATAGACACCCAACACCTGGGGTGGGATTTGGGGCACTGTGGGGGCCATCGAGAGAACACTTCCAGGGGTGAAGCCCCTCAGGCTCCCCTCTGTGTGCAGGGTAGGCCGTCCTGGGTGACAGAGCCTCTCTGTGAGCCTGGGTGTCTCAAAATCCCAGCCATGGACACTGAAACCCAACTGGTTCCTGCCTTGAGCTTTCTGTTACAGAGTTCTAAGCCAGGTGTCCCTGTCTCCTCCCTATCCAATCTGGAGTACAGTGGGGCGGGGGCAGGCCTGGAGCCTCAGGAGCTCCCTGGACAACAACATGCCTTTGGGGTAGCTTTAAGGAAACAGCTTAGGGATCTGTTTCCTTAAAAGAGCACACCTGCCATTTCATCTTCTCACTGAAGGGCTGGAGCCAGGTGGCTGTTCTGTACATCTTGGCCTTCTCAGCTTGTCACTAAGATACACAGAGACACACACACACACTTCCACACACAAGCTCACACACACCAAGGCAAACACAGAGTGTCACACCCCCACAAACACACACACAGACATAGATTCACAGTCACACACAGCTGAGTCTCACACCCACACAAAGACCCATCCACATACAAACACACCCACTCGCACATTCTCAAGCACACAAATCCACACACACGGTCTCAGGCTACATGGATGCAAGCACAACACACAAACTCACCCATACACAGAAATACACTCACTCTCATACCCACGAACTTCCACACAAACACACATAGACACTCACATAGCCGCTGCTTGGGAAAAGGAGCCCCACTTTTTTCTTCTTTGCAGTGAGGTTAGAAGTCTCCCACCCTCCCTGAGATTCAATTTCTCGTCCTTCCACTCCTAAAAATCTCCTGGCCCCATCTTTTCTTGGGTTCCTTCCAGACAGTGCTGTATCTTTAAGGAAGTTGAAGCTGCTAAAAGTGAGTGAGTGAGAGAGAGAGAACACAACCCAAAAAAATTTGGCATCTTTTTCCCCTCAAGTTTCTGGTGTCACTTATGAAACACGGGTCCTAGTTGTTGCAGAGAAGCAGTTGTTTTGCTAGAAGGAGGGAGCGTGGGGCTGCCCTGGGCCCCCTCCCTGCAACCTCCCTCAGCAGACTTTCTGATCCCAGGCCGCCTGTCTGACAGGGTGGGTACAGGCGCGCACATTGACGGTGGGGAGAGACCAGGCTGCCCCTCCCGGCAGCATCCAAGCCCTCCTGTGGTGCCTTTGGCCCTGCAGACTCTAAGGCTAACTTGGTCCTCTGCTGCTGTTTATTCCATCTTGGAAGAGGCCTAGCTGGACAAAGAAGAGTAGTTAGCAGGTAAGCTGCTGGGACGAAAGCTGGTGGAGGTGGGGGAGGCCTGTTGGAGCCGGAGCTGGTTCCCTCTTGGCACATCCCTGTTGGTTTGAGGTATTTGGGACAGTCCCTAGCTTGAGCTTTCGGGGGCCTCTGCTTCTTTGACAACCAACAACTGAGGCTCCGGCAATCCCAGCTGCCTTTGGGCTGAGCCCCTGGCCTCTCCCAAGCCAGCCGAGAGGTCCTGGTGGGGGTTTATTTAGGCAGCTGCCTGGTGTAGTTTGGACAGAACAGGCCATGGGCGTGATTCTACAGAAAAGGCCTGGTGTCTGCTGTGGTCACGGCGGGCGAGCGGGAGAGCGCGGGTGGGGCGGGTGGGGGTGGTGTGCACTGCATAAGGGGCCTTGTCTGGACTGGGGCAAAGCATACCTATGGGGGCTCCAGTGGGAGGGACTGTAGCCAGGATGTGGGAGGGAAGGGGGAGGTTCTGTGAAGTGCTGGGGGAGGGGGTGGCTGGAAAACAGATTTCAAGTCATAAAGTTAGCTAGGATCAGGCCGAGGCAGGGAGAGCTGTCTGCTTAGAGGAGGAACTGAGGTCCTCTTCCATCTTGTCTTCACCCTGCTTAGCTGCGAGACCTCGGGCAAGTCCTGGCCCTTTTCTGGGCCTCAGTTTCCCCTTCTGTAGAATGGGGGTGGTGGGCTAGGTGGTTTGGGGCTTTAACTGGGTTATGGGGTACAAGACCTCCTGATGGGGAAGGGTCTGGCTAGGATCCTGAGCGGGATGAGTCCCTTTGGCAGGTCCTTGGGATCACCTGGGTGACACACCCTTCTCTGCAGGAGGCGTGATGCAGGGGCTGCGTCTGCTTTGCTGGGTGGTTCTCCTGGGCCTGGCTCGGGCCTGTCCTGAGCCCTGTGACTGCGGGGAGAAGTATGGCTTCCAGATCGCTGACTGTGCCTACCGAGACCTGGAGGCTGTGCCGCCTGGCTTCCCGGCCAATGTGACTACATTGAGCCTGTCGGCCAACCGGCTGCCCGGTTTGCCAGAGGGTGCCTTCGTGGAGGTGCCCCTGCTGCAGTCGCTGTGGCTAGCACACAATGAGATCCGCATGGTGGCTGCCGGCGCACTGGCCCCTCTGAGCCATCTGAAGAGCCTGGACCTCAGCCACAACCTCATCTCTGAGTTTGCCTGGAGCAACCTGCACAACCTCAGTGCCCTCCAGTTGCTCAAGATGGACAGCAACAAGCTGACCTTCATCCCCCGAGACGCCTTCCGAAGCCTCCGTGCCCTGCGCTCACTGCAGCTCAACCACAACCACCTGCACACGTTGGCTGAGGGCACATTCTCCCCACTCATCGAGCTGTCCCACCTGCAGATCAATGACAACCCCTTCGACTGTACCTGCGGCATTGTGTGGCTCAAGACGTGGGCCTTGGCCACAGCTGTGTCCATTCCAGAGCAAGACAACATTGCCTGCACTTCTCCCCACGTGCTCAAGGGCACACCTCTGAGCCGCTTGCCGCCACTGCCTTGCTCGGCGCCCTCAGTGCAGCTCAGCTACCAACCCAGCCAGGATGGTGCTGAGCTGCGACCTGGCTTCGTGCTGGCGCTACACTGTGATGTGGATGGGCAGCCGGCCCCCCAGCTTCACTGGCACATCCAGACACCCGGTGGGACCGTGGAGATCACCAGCCCCAATGTGGGCACTGACGGGCGTGCCCTGCCTGGCACCGTGGGGGCCAGCAGCCAGCCTCGCTTCCAGGCCTTTGCCAATGGCAGCCTGCTCATCCCCGACTTTGGCAAGCTGGAGGAAGGCACCTACAGCTGCCTGGCCACCAACGAGCTGGGCAGTGCTGAGAGCTCAGTGGACGTGGCGCTGGCCACACCTGGCGAGGGTGGTGAGGATGCACTGGGGCGCAGATTCCATGGCAAAGCTGTTGAGGGCAAGGGCTGCTATACGGTTGACAATGAGGTACAGCCATCAGGGCCAGAGGACAATGTGGTTATCATCTACCTCAGCCGGGCTGGGAGCCCTGAGGCTGCAGTGGCAGGAGAAGGGGCCCTTGGGCAGAGGCTCTCAGGCTTGCTCCTGCTGGGCCAGAGCCTCCTCCTCCTCTTCCTTGCCTCTCTCTAGCCCCTCCATGACTGGCTGGGCTGGAGCAGCCTTAGGGCTTCTCTATCTCCACCCCTGACCCTGCCAGTGCCCCTACGAGTGCTGCAGGGACTTGGAGTTGACAACTCCTAAGATCTGCCTGGGCAACTTTACATTTTCCTACCTCCCCTCTAATCTTTTCTAGAACACCCACCACCTCCAACTTCTAGGCCTGCTCCGAGCTAGTGACTAGGATAATATTTAATCCCCTAAATCACCTTCTGTGGAGCTAACAGTTACTCACAGCATTGCCCCGCATCAGGGCAGCATGCTCACAGGGCGATGCCCTAGCCCAAGCCTCGGCAGTGGGTTCCCAGTCTCTGTGACTGACAAGCTGGCAAGGGCCAGGCAGGGTGGCAATGATGATGGGGCATGGCTAGGATGCAGCCTGAAGCACACAGAGCATAGGGGACAAGCATAGGATGTAGGGGCAGTGGCTGGTGTGGCCCTGAGGCTCTCCATGACCTGTTCATGCTCCTCCTGCCCTTCTGCTTCTTGGGGGATCAGGAGTCTATCCGTTCTCATCTCAGACTGTGCTGGAGGATCAAGGATGGGCCTTCCTCTCATCCTTCCTTCTTCAGCTTGGGCCCTCTGTCTTGGACCCCTGCCCTTCCTTACTCTCCAAATATGCCTCTGCAGCCTGCCTGTCCGGAGAGGCCAGCTGGCATGGGGGCAGCAGAGAAATAAACGGCATTTCTGATGCTCCCCTGTGTCTGCCTGGAGTTTTGTGTGGATCTAGGAGCCCCTGTTGGGGGTTCAGAGCTGCAGAGTCAGGGCAGGCAGCCTGCCTGCCCACATGTGATGGGGACCCATGAGACACAGAGGACCATGTGATGGGCCAGGGGCCGGGAGTCCAGGGAGCAGAGCTGCAGATATTCTTTCCCGTGACACTGGCCCACAGGAAGCCAGAGTCTGACAACTATCACAGAGGCTTCCCTGATGTCCTCAGTGAATCTGAGTGCAGCTGTGTGTCAGCAGTGGCTTCAAGAGGTACTTGCAGAAAGGAGCAAAGAAATACAAGTGTGTGGGTTTTGGCCCCTCTTCCCTGTCTTGGTGCTGGAAGAGATGTTAGGAACAGAGAGGCAGAGGGGACAGGTGAGACAGAAGGAAGGAGATGGGAACATACTTACCCCTGCCCTTCAGGAGGAAGAAATGGTTTTCCAAGCGGAAAGTCCAAATGAGGATTGCAGATGCCCATAGGAATCTCTCCCCGAGAAGCAGATGGATCAGTAACTGGTCCCGGGCAGTGGATGCAAGGAGGGGGTGCTGACAGTGACCTTCAGGTCTCTCAGAATGGGGAGAACAAAGGGTCTCTGAACCTGGAGACCTTACAGAGTGCAAAATCTGCACCAGGTCAGATGTGTCTCCCTACTTCCTCCATCCTGCCCCTTTCAAGATGGAGGGACAGTGATCCAGTAGGAGAGGTTCTGTGACTTTTGCCCAGAGCCCCCAGAACTGCTGAGTTCAGCAAAGTGGAAGCAGGAGACCAAGGAGTCTAGGGTAGCAGCTGTGAGCCTTGGCTGCTGGCCAGCCCCTCCCTCTCCTCCTGGTCCAGATACAGCACCTCCTCCTTCCCCCTGACCCTTACTAGCTTGCAGCTCCTGCTGAGCTGATGTCATCAGCAGCCAGCATCAAGAACGACTCCACATCTGGTGGAAAGCAGCAGGATAGAGCCAAATCCCATGTACTGTGACACCTTGGGTAAGTCACTGGCCATCTCTGGCTTCGGTGGCCTCAGAAGTCAACTGATGTGATAAGTCAGGATACTGCTTAAGGGTCCAATCAACTCTGATTATCTAAGGCTTGATAACCTAATGTGATTTGGACCCCTGACATCCCTGCCTCTATTCACAGCTGAACAGCCTTGGATTCTTGGAGCAGGACCTAGACTGAAGACCGGGCCAGGGCAGCACAGGGAACACTCAGCTGTGCCCTGAATAAACGAGCTACTCCTTGCTTTAAAGTTTCCCATGGCCCCCAGTGCCCTCCAGGTGAAGCCAACTTCCCCAGCCTGCCATTCATAACCTTTCTGATGGGCTCCTCCAATGTTGTTCAGCCCCATCTCTGCCTCTTCTTGGAACTGCTAATTAGTCATTCTCTTAATGCTATGTGGTGTCATCCTCTGCACCTCTGTGTGTGTTCTTCCCTCTACCTGGGCACCTCTGCCTTGTTCTTAGTTTGGCTACATCAGTCTTTGGGACTTGGCTCAGGTACCACCTCCTCCAGAAAGCCTTCCTGGTTGTCCCTCTACCCCCAGTGGGGGCCAGGTCTCCTCCCTGGTGCACATAGCTCTGGGTTGGATCACACTACTGTGACTCTGTTTCCTTGTCAAGGGCAGAGTCCAAATCTGGGTTCACCTCTCTGTGGCCCTGCTGGTATCTGACACAGGGCCAGGAAGATGATTTTTCAGTAGGCTGAAGGGATCAGAGCACGCCCTCTTTGGTCTCCTCTGGGCAACCTTAAAGGTGAGTCTGAGGTCCCTGACCCTACTCTGGCATCTTAGGTGTTTTAAGGCTTAGGGAGGGCAGGAACCTGGATGTGGGGCAGGAGATTATTGGTCTCCACTAGTTGTGTAGATGTTTCTCAAGGCCCTGCTGACCCAGATCTATGGTGTGGGTCATATCTTCCCACCCTCTGTAGGCCCCTGCCCCTTGGTGGGCCCCATTCCCAAAGCATCTTTCTCATTAGTGCATCCCCCACCTCTACCCAGCCCCAGGAAGGGGAAGGGACTCCAATCTGCCCCAACCTCTCTTCTCTGCATACTCAGTCTGCTCCCATTAGGACAGCTCCCCTGCCACCCCCCAGGGTGGCACACCCTTGTCCTCCTCCCCAAATCTTGCCCATTCTTTAAGACCCAGAATGAGTCCTACTTCCAAAGTGACATCCACACTGCTCAGGGGTTGCATCATAGTATCCTCAGTCTCTTTACCACTCAAAGGGATGCAGCTATGGGTTCTCTCTGCCCTCTACCCCTGCCCAGACCAAAATGTGATCGGAATACCCCGAGCTCATCCAGGCCCCATAAATTCAGTGGTGATTTACTGACAAGGTTGGTGGGGTTTCCCCTGCATACCCTTCCCCCCCATAAGGAGGACTGTTTCTCAGGAACAAGTTTATTACAGGGAACACACTAACCCCTTTCATAATGGCTACAGGCATAAAATCTACAAAAATATCTGGCTCTCAAAAGTGGGCAGCTCAGTATGGGACCTGGCTTGAGTGGTGACTTGGACTGCCTTGCAGGTCAGAGGCCCAGGAGCCTTCCAGCCATACCCCAGAGAAGACAGGGGGAGCTGAGGAAGAGAGCAAGCCCCATGGTGGTTCCACAGTATGAAGGCCAACGCTGAGATGAGGCTGAGCTGGAATGAAGGCTGCCCTGCCCTACCCTGGATCACCAGCCCTGTCTCAGTCTGGAGAAGGCTTCGGAGAGGCTCCACAAGACTGGTGGCAGAGCCAAGGTGGGGAGAGGCCTGGATGTGGCCACCACAGTGCCGCTAGCTCCTACACCAAGGGCCTAACCCACCAGTTGCTTTCTCCAGAGCTCTTGTTGGCTCTCCTGAAGCCTGGGGAGCAGAGCAGAGCCCGCCTGAGGCTCACAGAGTAGGCAGACCTCCACCCAGCCATGCTGATCCTGGAGCACCTGCCAGCAAAGCTGGTGCTCAGGGGAGGGACTACTGAGGCAGGAGGTGATGCTGGAAGACCCAGGGAGGGAGTAGGATGATCGGCTTTCCCCGCCCTCAGGACTGGGTGCCGTTGGCTCGGGCACCTGACAGGGCCATCTTCCGAAAGGCCTGCAGGGCTGGGTTGTGCAGCAGTGTGTAGGCCAGGCCCCAGCGGGCCCTGCCACGGCTGACCCTGGGCCCTGCTCCCTTGGCCATGGGGTCCTTTGTCTGCAGCAACTGCATCCCTGAGAGGACGAGACCTTCTGTGAGTCACTCATCAAACACTCATCCATGCCTCCCCAGTACCCAGACCTGAGCAGAGAGCCAGAAAATCATACTTAGTAAGGAGGGTGAGCCTGAGGTTTAGCTCAGAGAGGGAAGTGGGGAGACTCCTCTGTGGGGTACAGAGGGCTGTTTGTAAAGGCTTGGGATGTCACCCTGAAGGTGGCAGACAGAGCGAGGGATGAGGTCTGTCAAGCCACTGGAAGCTGACTTGAAGCTGGCTTAGCACCCCTCCCTACTACATACTTCCCAGGCAGTAGGGAAGGTGGAGGTCACACTCTGCAGAGGGAGGGGTGAAGGCGGCAGAGCTGGCCTGGGGTGGTGGTGGGTATGACAGAGCCCCTTAGCAAGGCAGCCATTTCATTGTGCACATATGGTGTATGTTCCTATCATGGAAAAAATTATCCAGAGACCAGACTGGGAGGGGTGACCACGGGCCGCCAAGGGAGAAAGGAAGTGAGAATTTTCCTGGCTCTCACGACATGTTGGGAATGCTTGCCTCCTTCCTGGGAGAAGCTAAGGAGGCTCAGTTTCCCCCATTCCTAGTGGGAGTGCATACCTTCTTCTTCCTCCCCTGGCCTCAGGCTGTCCTGGGGGGCTGGTGGGGTCCAGGATGGGGGACTCCGTGCTTGCAGGAGCAGGGTGCAGAAGGCTGTCATGGCTGGATGTGACTGGCTGACCTCAATCTTCAAGAAGTTCCGGTATGTGTGGTAGCCTAGGGTAGGGAGAGAGACAGCAGTGGTGAGGGCAGAGGGGCCACCAGCACAAAGAGGCACCCAGAGCCCCCTAACACATGCACAGGGAGTGTGCGGGCATGCCGCCAGCCAAGCATGTAGACAGCTGGGCACACAGCCCCACGGCATGTGAGCACCTGGAGCACACGCTGCTGGAACACACCACACCCAAAGGGCATACTGCCGCGGAGCGCAGGGGGCACATGCTTACAGACATCTCTGGGAACTGAGCAGCATGTGGCTCGGGGCAGCGCAGCCTGAGCAGCCTCCCAGCCCCCAGCCCTGCTCAGGGACTTTACCAGGGTCAAAAGTGGCAGCTCTCGGGGGCAGCAAGCT